CTCGCTGCTAAAGCACATACTCGCCGAGCAGCTCTTTAATTTGCGGAAACCGACCCTGCTGTGGTCCACTGAAGCCTTTGCGTAAAGCTTTGCTGTCGAAAATCTTCTGCTTTTGTTTCCGCCGGTCCCGCACGCACGTTTCGGGAACTCCGAACGACCGCGATGCGGCCCGATTTCCGTCCGTTTCTGCACACGCGATGACTTTTCTTTTAAAAGCGGCATCGTGGTGCACTCGAGTTTTTGGAGTCGGCCATTCCACGCCGTCGATGCTAATGCACTACTAGATGACGAACTCCTCAGCACATGTGCGAAGTGCCGCACATGAGAAACACATAGGCAGAAATGGACGACGCGCCATGCCGACGCACGTAGGGGGCGGCCATTTTAGATTTGCCGATGGCAATAGATTGGCCGTAAATTTTTTGTTCGTACTCGATTCTAACGCGCATGCGATTTATGAACTCGCTTAACCGGAAAAAAGGTGCGCGTTAGATTCGAGTAATTACAGTACACGCGCCATATGTGACATAATTCCTAATAATGTCTCGCATCTTTCATCATCAACTACAAGTACCGTCATCTAGTTTTGTAACATCTCGCATCTTTTCATCAGCTACAAGTACCGCCACCTAGTGAACACTCGAACTAAACTAGAGGTGGCTACCTACTACAACTACATACATCGGGGATGACCGACCCACGCCTTAAGGAGCTTCGCCCCTAAAACGCAGCGCTGTTGGCGATGCAACGACTTGGACAATACCCCAGGTGTGCCGATTCAAGAAAGCTACCCGCACCTTTTGCAAAAACTGGACCACATTGAAAAGGCATCTGTCACCAAATGCAAACAGCTCGGATTGAAGGCTTCAGTGCAATGGAATAACAAGGTCGATGCACAAGTGTGCCAGACTCAAGATAACATGACCTGAATAGCACAAACATCATTCGCACTATATGACTTGAAGATTGTTGCCAACTTTGGCACAAGACCAAAAATATTGATAGAAATCAGGGTACAATAGCGCCCCATCAAGTTTGAGGTGGGTTCCAGAGCAGCATGCATGCTCAGCAGTGAGGAATCTTTTCGAGCTACTTCGAGCGAGAACACGCTAGCTCTTTTACAAGACGACACGCAGCTGGGGACGTGGTCTAGACATTCTCTTCCACTACTGGGCTGTGCCAACGTAGACATCTGCTACAAGAGTGAAACCCATGAGCTCCCCTTGCTAGTTGTCCATGGTTCTGGATCAAGCCATTTAGAACGAATTTGATTCACCCCTTTTGAAGTGGTCATTGGCGGAGTTCATCACGTATTCAGCTATTCGTCAATAGAGCAGCTTCAAGAGAAGTACAAAGTGCTTTTCTCTGAAGAAATACCAGGAAACAACGGACCTCCAGTCACACTTTGGCTGTTTAAGGACGCTACGCCGAAATTTTTCGAAGCTAGTTCACAAGCTTCCGCCTAACAAACGTCAGTGGAGAATGAGGTTGACCGACTGCAGAAAGAAAGAATCACTGAACTGACGCAACATTCAAAGTGGGCTACACCCCTCGCTGTCGTCCAAATGAGAAACGGTACTCTACACCTCTGCGGAGACTACCGGAGCGCTGTCAACCTGGCGACAAAAGCATCTATTTACCCACTACCGACTCCACAAGAGGTCTTTAGTGTGTTTTGGGGGGGGAAAGATCTTCATCACCTTAGACTTGACACAAGCCTACCAGCAACTGAACGTGAACGAACCAACGCCTGCACTAATGATAAATACCATTAGGGGTTCTTACAAAGTCAAAAGGCTACCATTCGGGCTCTTAGCAGGGCTCTGTGCAAAGTGGGGGCAGCCCTTTCCTAAGCTGACGACCAGGGATGAAAAGCCCCAATTGCTTTTGCATCATGCACCTTATCACAGGCAGAGAGAAATTATTTTTTTTATTATCTATGCAGCTGATGACTTCGAGCAGAAGAGTGACATTCGTAACAGACCATCGGCCCTTACGCGTCCCCACAAACCATTGGCACAGACATTGTCGCCACGAATGACACAATGGTGCATCATAATGCTAGTGTATGATTATGAACTCGTACATTGCACTGTTGGGAAGAAACACCAGAACGCTGATGCACTAAGCCGCCTGTGGCTAGACGCGACGAACCACCCCCATCGGGTGACATGTTCAAGATGCTGCCAAGCCCTTGAATAACAGCTGACATGGTAGTTGCATCAACGCAGGAGTGTGTTGGTTTGGAGGAAGTCTGCGCAGCTACACAAGAAGCCAACATGCAGAAGCTAAAGTGTGAACAACACTTCAGTGCTTATCGCAAGCAAGCTGCGGAGTTAAGCACTCATCGCAGCTGCATCAACTTTGAATCATGAGTTATGATCCTGGCGGCACTTCGCAAACAAGCCATGTCGCTTCTCCATGCAGGTTATCGAGGCATTGTTGCCATTAAGTGTGCCGGAAGTTAGATCTGAAGGCCAGGTATCGACCATGACAACAGTGCAAGACTTGTCAATGCAACCCACCAAGAGCCCCTATTCTTGAATGGGAAAGACCAAACACACCTTGACACACCCTGCACATTGATTTTGCTGGAACTATCAAAGGGTGTGTGGGAAAACCACACTTCGGCATCTATAGCACCAAATGAGAGAGAAGCGAACCCGAGCGTTCGTGTTCTCAGTTCTTTGATGCACGCGCTATTCGCGCAGGAGGTTCAAACAATTTTCAACTGGGTGTTCATTTCTGGTGGTTGTAGACACATGCACAAAGTGCCCTGAGGTAAAGCGAATGGCTACATCAACATCAGCAGCAGTTATCGACACCCTCTGGTCATTGTTTGCAACTTTCGGCCTACCACGCAAGATAGTCTCGGACAACGGTGCTCTGTTTGTGTCCATGGAGATTCTCAAGTTTTACAGTGACAGCGGCGTCTCATCTGTTTAGTCAGTTCCTTACCGCCCGGCAACAAACGGACAAGCCGAGTGCTACGTGGCAGAGCTTAAACGTGCTCTTACAAAAGATCAGACTGGAACAATTCAATGCCACGTCACGCGCTTTTTCTTCAGGCAGCACAACACTTAAAAGAACCCCAGGGCAAACGCTAGGAAGATTTATGTTTTGACGAGAAATGAGAACCCAGCTGACAGCGGTTGTCCCAGAGCCCTCTTCAGAAACATTGTCGGGGGAAGAAAAGCTCTTGCATATCGGGAGAACTGAAATTGGATAACACATATACGCATGCCAGTTCATTGAAAAACTCAGCTGGATTGAAGCGACAGCATTCAAATGCATAGGTTTGCCATCGTAGCTCGTCGACATAGGCGGAAGGGCCACTTGGCACGTCATTCAGGGAATTCGCCAAAAGAGGCTCCCTTCCAAGCAGGTACCCGTGAGGAAGCGTCATCACACCTAACCTGGCATCTCCCACAAGATGAATCGGTGCCGCTGCCAGTTGGCCCACAACACAAGGGCATTCGCACACAGCAAGCGGAGGCCTCTCCAAACAGGCCCAAGCGTCCACGCATCCACGACAACCCCCAGATCGCTTCCAAGCAACGATCTAATAAGGGAGGAGATCTGTCCTAACACGAGCACCTTTGTTCCCAAGCGAACAGTCTAAACGGTTCATTGTACTAGCAGGCGTCTGGTTGTCGACTGCTCCCCCAGCTTGTTAGAAACGAGTCACCACTCGTTTCCTTCAGAGTATGGCTTCCACCTATGAATAGGAATGAACACATTTTAGCCCATACAGACTGTCTATGCTTTTTAGACCACCGTGCGAACGACAACAACACTGGACATAACAGTATGAAAGACAGCGCATCCTAACAATGATCAGTTGATTGATGCTCTGTATGTCACTATCAGTGCCAGTGTCTATCACTGCAATCTGACTTGCAGTTTACTGGCCACAAGTTTGGTCCACTTCATGACCCTATGACAATATAAAAGACGCATAACCTAAGCATTTAAAGCTAAGCATTCATTTCATGCTCATACAAATTAGTGAGCAATGACTTTAGGCAGTAATATCAGTAGTATTGGTAGGCCAACCATCGAATAGCTTGCACAAAGAAGAAAGCAAGTGCCTGATTTCATTGCATAAGCCACCTTGCGTGCCTGAGGACAAGTATTGCTCCTTGCTTGAATATGTGAAGATAAGGTTTCTTTTCACCCGCTGTGCCACCTGTTAGCTTGTGTAGTGTCGTGAATTCTCTTGTGTTCGTGTATGATTCCTTGCTTTCTTCAATACTTTCAGTCATAGTGTATACAAATGGAGATGCCAACTTCAATGGCACGTCACGCACCACGTGTTTCATCAAATGGCTTGAAACTTAGTGTACACATTCGTGCAGGCCTGCAGAGTGGAGAACTGTCGATCATTTAACTTCATTATGCTGCAAAGGGTCAATTTGCTGGATGCACTACCATGTTCAACGATTGTTCAAAGTGACTTATTACTAGACCAACGTGAAAAGTGTTTTTTCCTTCACTCAAATCAAATACAACCAAAAAACAAACTGCACATGCATTTGGGTGTAGTGGCGGATTTTTTTTATCAAACTACTAAAGCTGACCAGCGGCAGTATAATTAGGTAGTTGCACACTCATTACTTTTAATTACCCAAACTCACACAGAACAGTGCTGTCCTTTATTTTTTTACTTGGATTGTAATACTGGGTGCCCCGGAATTACGCCATGCGAATATTACGCATTTCTGACAGATAATCATAATTTGTGACATGAATGCCTACCACCTAGTTCAGCTGTCTGCTTAATAGGCAAAGAGGTTATGCTCTTCAGTAACATTTGCTGGCAGGCTGCTTTGTGATGCATAGTTCATAAGTAAAATGGCACACGCAGTGTCAACTTACCTAATTGAAGGCAGCACTCAGTCTTCACGTCGCATGTGTGCTGCTTTACCTATGGATTAATGGTATGATCTTGCACATTTATGCTGTGTTGCAAAGTCATCAGCAACTCTTTTTTTTTACAGATGAATAGTGATGGTGACAGACCAGTGGGTGACGAGTTATATGACATTCCTATAGGCGCCACAACTACAGATCTACCTGCTGGAGTCCTCTACAGGGTGAGAGCTTCATGCTTCCTCACTGGCGCCCCTTACACCATGTTTTGTTGCAGGTCCGTGCTACGTACAAGTACACAGCCGAGGATGTGGACGAGCTCAACTTTGAAAGTGGCGAGATCATTCGAGTTATCGAGTACGATGACCCCGAAGAGCAGGTAAGGCGATGGCAGAGAAGTATGGGTTGCGGAAGTTCCTCATCGTTCATGTTCATTTTGCAGGAAGAAGGCTGGCTGATGGGCATCAAAGAGTCGACGGGCGAAAAGGGCCTCTTTCCAGCGAACTTTACACGGCCCATTTGAGGCTCGAGTGGGACGCCCTGTGATCGGCGTCGCATATTTTCTTCGTTTCCTCGAAACTTGACGCAGTAACTGCCAGCTTAGGGAGTGCTCCCACGTTTGCTGTATTGTACTTTGCTTGGAAGTGCCATTTGTAGCAGAAGGGTGCTCCCAAAGCGGCAGGATACAATTTAACGACACATTTAATCGAGTAGGAGTATGCTCTACTAGCAGCAGTCTTTCCAAGGAAAACATGATGGCCTTTCCCATTTGTTGGTGATTAACACTTCTGGCTGTCCTGGACTGTTCATCCAAGCCCTGCATACACCCATTGAGCAGTGTTTCCCCACACTTTCTTCGCCCCCAGAGAGCCTTCTCTTCTGATCTATCTTGACTCTGGTCTTTCCATATGGTGTGGATACAGAGTGGTATATAGAAACTTGGAAACCTCACATCGTTGCTGTGTACTTATTTATTCTTTTCTCGAAGACCAGAAAGTTTCATTCGCTTTTGTTTACTTTTTTGTACCTTATCACTGTAGTTCCTGATGAGTTCATGTCCTTCTTCAGGAGGCAGAAATTGTGCACTTTTTTTCCTGTAGATAACCATTATCAGTGAAGCACCACTAATGCAAGAGTTGCCTCTTTCACGTGAGGCAGCTTTCTCGTGTGACGATCCCAGTTTTCCGTCCAAAGGGGTCATATTATTTTTGGCTCCAGTCTTTTGACACGTTTGCTGGGCATCCTCACTGTGTGCTCCAAGTGCCAAGTTCGCAGCTGCTGCCTTTTGTGTGGCTTTCCACCCAAGAGGCTATTGGAATACGCTCGTTGCTAGTCTTAGCGACAGCAGTATTCTCTCAGCATTTTTTACTCACTGCCAAATTGCACAAGCCATTGCCAACTGGCTAAGAGGGAGACTTCCTGGCAGCTTTCAATACTTGTGCATGAGACGGTCTTTTCGTCTTCCTAATAAAAAGTTCTCTGTAGACATCAAAGTGATCTGCTGTAAGTTGGGTATACAGCCAATGGGAAGTGCACCTTCACTGTTTGGTCTTTACAGTCTTGTTAAAGGTTCTTCCAGCAGTTCTTCAGTAGCTTGGGCTTCTCGGTTATAGACCGCGAAAAGATTACGCCGCCATCTACATCTGTGTTCCATAGGACATCTTTGTACCTTTTTCTTTAGTCTGCCTGTTTCTTTTTCCATATGGACTTATGCCTGTTCCATATCTCATTTCAAGTACTTTCGTTTAGTTTGGTAAATAAGAGATATTTGCAATCAAAGCACTCAGCGCCTCACCCTGTATGTTAATCATGTCACCAGGCTTGCTTTGTCTGTGGCAATTTTTTTTCCTTGCTACTTGCAATGTAATAACATTCAGATCTGATATTGTCTTATGTATAGTAAAAAAATGGATTCCCATAGTTTTCTGACTTCTTTCATTCTTACTTTGTGTGCATGCGTACCATGCTTTCCTGAAAACCACTTCAGAAAGTCTAGTTCGTAAAATGCAATGCTGCTGCTGATTGTTTCAAATGCGCTTCCTTGAGGCAGTGGCAAGTCAAGTCAAGGAGCACTTCTAATACTGGTGTGCGAGAATGAAGATGGCCCAGGGTATTGCAGGGCGAGGGTGATTCTTGCTTCCATGCTAGTTGCGTCTGTGACCCGGGCCACTACACAATCATGAATGGTGCAGTGTACTTGCTGTTCACTGGTCCAGCGGCATTAACAAAAGAATATCCTCTGCCCTCACCTCTCCGAAAAGAATCGTGGGGTATGGGAATACGTAGCGTCCATAACGGCGTTTCGCACGTGAGAACTCAGCGTTAGAAGAATAATGTTTTTTTTTTTTCTTGCACCCTGCAGCCAATAGCGCCGTTCACCACACGGCGCGCTTTTATGTCGCGAGAAACATGGTAGCTCTAGTAGCTAGCGTGCACGTATAAAAAAAATTCGGCAGATCCCACGTACCTGGGAATCGACGTTATGCTAAGCATGTGGAGGAAAGGTGACCGTGTTGCATTCTTTACTAAAATTTACTAAATTTTACGCTAAATATATGTACTAATGTTGTACGCACAGACTTATGTTGAAGAATTGCAGATGTTTATATAACCAGTTGTTTGCACTCGTGCAACGATGCCAAATGGAACATGTGTACTAGCAGCACGAGAAGCCGATATTAAGCGCTGATGCTCGCAAGGATGCTGGCCCTGGACATTGCTACATAAATCAACTTCAGCACATGGCAACTAACCACAATTGACGTTAACCCGATGTGACGGCTGTATCAAACGATATTGATTGATTGATTGATACTTGGGGTTTAACGTCCCAAAACCACCATTTGACTATAAGAGACGCCGTAGTGGAGGGCTCCGGAAATTTCGACCACATGGGGTAATGTGCACCCAAATCTGAGCACGCTGTATCAAACGAGTAAATATGACATATAAAACATATAAAGTTTATAAAATTGGGTAGGCAGCACTGCAACCACTATTGACATTTCACGAAGATTAGCGTCTATATGAAAAGTAAGACCTGTCGTAGCTCTGTGTTAAAATGCCTCATTGGCATGGAGAATGCTTGGATTCGATTCCAGCTAGCTGGGACCCTGACATTCATTCTTTGCATTCATCGGGTCAACGCTACCAATGTCGGGTATTTCTTAACGCTCGCACGTTAAAATTTCCCATGTGTGTTCTTGCTCCTGGGTAGACACAGCTGCATTTAGCAAATAGGAAACCGGGCGGGGCCATTGCCTGCAAATTATGCAAGGCTAGATCCGCCGGCTACCTACAACATCCTTAACCTTATCCTTATCCTGGGTAGATACTAAGTGGCTATCACCTGTGGCACATACCCGCGTACGAGCAACACATACCCGCTTGTGGGTATGTGCCACTGTCTGAGGGGGGATGTTTGACAACGTTCGCAAAGGGATTATGACATTATTCATGTCTTGACCAGCGCATCATATTTATCGAACCATCTTAGCCTCCCATGCTAATTTTGGTTAACGCCAAATTAACGGGGTGACCATGAAGGCACCCAAACGTAAGCGGCTAGATAGATAGATATATGCTCAAAGTCGCCAAAGTTCACTAAGAAATGCTTCGCATTTAAAATACTACGAAGTGAACAAAACAAACGACGTTCTCAGTGTTGGCGTTTCACAGCGGCGTCTTGAGCACACATTTCTGGCTCTTCTTGAGAGGCGCCCAGCCAGCGAACGGATGAAAAAGTGGGGCACAGGAAGGAGTGAGAACGAACGGCGAAAGACGGAACGGCGAAGCACTGCACCTACTCTCGCACAACATGCTCCGGTTGCTAGGGGCGAGGATAAGTGCGCACGCCTGTAGCTGTTGCTATGGGAGAGGGAATTAGAGCAGAGAGGTAACACTTGCAGGCGTGCGGACAACGCCAGATGCCTGACACAGCCCGACTAAAAAGTGCATCTCTGTGTCCGAGTACTTGTCGTAAATCTTGGCCCATGCCCGACGTTGATGGTCAATGGAACTCTGGATGCAAGTTGCGTGGTAGCGATTTGATGATGCCTCTGTTCATTTCGAATACTTCATTTTCCATCTAAACTTGGGTAAGTTGGGGCAGTTTGGAACTTTTTCTTCAGCCTTTTTCCAGTACTAGCTCTAGCTCTTTCTAGGTTGAGCTCTCTGTCATACTTTTGCTTGCCAGGAATGTCTTCTGGGCGATATTTTTCTTTAATGACAGTTCTACCTTTCGGATGTAACCTAGTGCTTCGTACTTTTTCAATAAATTTCTTCCATCTACGTTGTGTTTGAAGAAAATGAGACGATGCTAAGCCACCAAGAAGACAAGGCGAAAGGAAGGAGCATCTTCCTTTTGCTCTTTCCTTTTCGGTGATTTTGCATAGTCTAATTTTGTTGAAGCATGCAACTAGTATACCCCAACAAGTTTTAGTTAAAGATATACTGTTGTTTCACTGTAATGGACTTCATATCTAGTGCTTTTATATTAATAAGAACTGGCAGACAGCCATGCCAAACAAAGCATAGGGGATGTTATTTTACATTGAAATAATATCCGCTATACTTTCCAAAACATGTGCGCGCAACTCGTCAGTTGACAGGAAACATCAACATAGGAAAGCGACCACTCAAAATCAGTAAAACTTGAGACATTGCGGACACTTTGAAGCAATGTCAAAATTGAGTGAAACAGGAAGAAGTTAACTCAGAAATATGCGGAAAAAGGTGGGTCATCCAGGGCACTAAGCTGGCCTAAGATCGCAAGGTCTGAGGTTCAAAACCACGCCATTCTCTTTTTTTTTTTTATAGACTTTCAAACAGTTGAGAAAAGAAGGCCAGGCTAGCTACGAGAAAGGTGACGTTGAGATCTGATAGGCGGGCAGGTGGTACTCTACAGCGCTAAGAAATGCAACAAAACGCCTTACTTAGAGATAGCGAAGCAACCTAGCATGGCATGATAAAAATCAGTTCGAATGCAGATACCGGACCATTTTCTGCCGTATATTTACTTAAAACGCGTAAAACAAGAGGTCTAGAGTGCGACCTCATTGGCGACCAGCTGCTGGTAATGCACTCCCTCACCAGAGCAAGATTAACTACCCTGGTGCAGTACCTGGGCACAACCTCCCATGAACACAGCAATTAACCCTTGGCCCTCAGTCCCCAGCAGCTGCGAAGCAACTGTCTAAGGCGGCAATCAAGCATGCGATGCAGCGGGGAGTGCCAAGAATATCTGGGTCCAGAAAGGCCGCCATTGGAATCTGAACTTGGCTACCTTCAATGCCAGAACACTACCAATTGTGGCTAGTCTAGCTCTCCTATTCGAGGAACGAGAGGGTGTTTAATTCCCCCAGATTTCTTCCATCTACATTGTGTTTGAAGAAAATTAGACGACGCAAAGCCACCCAGAAGACAAGGCAAAAAGAAAGAGCATCTTCTTTTTGCTCTTTGCTTCTTGGTGCAAAGAGCAAAAACGCTTAGTCTAATAATTAGACGCTTAGTCTAATTTTCTTTAAGCATGCAACTGGTATACCACAACTAGTTTTACTTTAAAATATACTGTTTTGCACTGTAATGGACTTTGTACCTAGCACTTTTATATTAAGAACTAGCAGACAGTAATGCCAAACAAAGCATAGGGGATGTTATTTTACATTGAAATAGGATGTATTGGAGCTCAGCGAAGTTAAGAGGACACGTGAGGCTTATAGAGAGCTGAAGAACGGACACGTTTTATGCTACCGTGGATTAGTGGGCAGAAAATAACAAGGGGTGAGGTTTTCTGTACACAAGAATATCACCAGTAACAAAGAGAAATACTATAGTATCAGTGAGAGGAGGGCAGGTATAATAGTCAAGTTTAACAAAAAGTACAACATGGAGGTAGCACAGGCCTACACGCCGACATCGAGCCATGATGATCATTTGGTTGAATGCTTCTATGAACGCTTAATGTCAGCCATTAACAAAGTCACAGTATACTATTTTGATAGGTGACTTTAGTGCCAAAGTAGGCAAAAAACAGGGCAGGGGCTCTAGAAATGCCAGAGGGGAGTTATGGGTATAGATCACAGAAGGCAATAATTTACTTATCTTGAATACCTTCTTCAAAAAACAAGACCCCCCCCATGTATTCCGGCCACTATCCGCCGACATATGCAGGGCATGAAACGCTCGCATCTCGTTTCACTTTCATTAAGGCTGTCTCAAGGTTGCTTTTTTCATCCGCTAGGTTATGTATTCTGGCGCTGCAGTTTGAATAAAAAGCTCAACTGAACGGTCGGTTGTATTCTGCGCATTTCTCAATTACCTGATTGATAGTATGAATATGGTCTATTGTGGAGTAGCCTGTACAAAATCCTGTTTGATCTTTTGGTTGAACTCTCAATAGTTTGTTCTTTAGTTTGTAAAGAACGGACAGTAAGCTGATTGGCCTGTAATCATGGCCAATCAGCTTGGGTCCTGCAGTGAGCATAGTGAGGCTGATGATGATTTCTGGTGCACAGAGGCTCGTTTGTATGCCACTGTATAATAGTAACCATGTTCATGGGAGATGCCTTTGCCTTGCAGAGGTCATAGTGAGGCTGATGATGATTTATGGTGCACAGAGGCTTGTTTCTATGCCACTGTATAATAGTCTCAGTGGTCATCAGAGACACTTTTGCCCTACAGTGGGCAAAGTGAGGCCGATGATGATTTCTGGTGCACAGTGGCTCGCTTGTATGCCACTGTACAATAGTCTTGGTGATCATGGGAGATGCCTTTGCCCTGCAATGGTTATAGTGAGGCTGATGATTTCTTCTGGTGCACACAGGCTTGTTTGTATGCCAGTGTATAATTATCTCAATGATCATGGGAGATGCCTTTGCCCTGCAATGGGCATAGCGAGGCTGATTATTATTTTCAGTGCACAGAGGCTTGTTTGTAGGCCACTGTGTAATAATCTCAGTGATCATGGGAGAGGCATTTGCCCTGCAGTGGCTATAGTGAGGGTGATAATTTGTGGTGGACAGAGGCTCGTTTGTTTCTTCACTATATAATGGTCTCACTGATCATGGGAGAGGCTTTTGCCCTGCAGTAGGCATAGTGAGGCTGATGATTTGTGGTGCACAGAGGCTCGTTTGTTTGCCACTGTATAATAGTTGCAGTGATCATGGGAGAGGCCTTTGCCCTGCAGCGGGCATAGTGAGGCTGATTATTTCGAGTGTAGAGGCTCGTTTGTATGCCTCTGTATAATAGTCGCAGTGTTAACCGTCATGTGTGTTACACGTTGCAACTTTGTTGGTTCATAAGATAGTAAAATTAAATTTATACATCTTTGTCATGGTGACGAGCACAGACTTACAAGGAAGTGAAACAATGTGCCTCCCGTTTTTAGGTCATACCAAAGCGTTACTAGACGGTGATGTGGGCATGCGACATCCCTCTTAAACACATCCCATGTGCTTGCACAATCCTAGATGGCAGAAGCGCACGCCAGAAATCAGTTTGCACTGGTAATTGCAGTTGGGCAACTGCAATTGGAGTGGGCAACTGGGGTGGCACTCCAAGGAAGAAAAGCATTGGCAATGGTGTTTCCAAAGGGAGCGTGCATTGGCACACATGACATGAAAGCAACGTGGAGTGTCCAAGAAATTTAGAACTGTTGGAAAACAAAATATTGGCTGTGCAGTTATAAATATTTATTTGCTAACAGTCTCATTTTTATTACAGGCAACAATGCATCTAGCAGAGCACATTTTATCTCATCACATAAAATGCATTCCCCATAATGCCAAGCAACAATACAAACAAAAGGTGTGTCACTTTTACAAATGAAATGCAGAAGAAACACCTCTGCATCTGCACAACATCATTCCACCATAACAGACTGCCATTCTCATCTTGTAATCAGGAAAACTGAGGCTTGCTCACTCACCACAGCAGTTCATTATACACACAGCCGGACCGCAAGAGTGAATAAAGCAATGCTGTTCACATCTGAAGACAAGGCACACTATTGGGGAGGGAGTGCCTCGGGCTGCTGCAGTGGCCCTCCTACCTAATGCAGTTTTCTTTAATATGTATGTGGGTGCAATAACCGCCACCAAAAGCAAAATGCACGTAATCACTTCACTGGCAAATGCACAATGGATTGCACGCAAATGCACCAGGGGAAGATTTTGAAATTGAAACTCCATTCCAGCAGCCAGGCCTGACAGCCAAAACATCTCAAATGGAGCAGTCAGGGAAAGGTAATGACCACTTGCACTTTCAAGTTAGCACTCATTTTTAGCTGCATACTGTTATTATATAACATATATTTACATACATATAAGTATACACACATGCGCACACGTGGGCACATGCACCCATTTTCACGCGATCGCAAAATCACAGTCAGGTGTACTTGCTTCAGTAATGAACACAGCTGTTCAAGGAGAGAGAGAGGAATGAGCTGAGGTGCAGGTGAGGATAATTGCACAATCACTGTCACACAAGTCTTATCACTAGAGAAGCACATTATTGTGAAGAGGAAGAAGAACAGCCCTGCAAGGCATTGTTGCAGAGATTGGCTTTTCAACTGCTGCAACTTGGCTTTGTTAAGACCACGACTTGTTGTAGCCTTTCCAGTCAGCTGGAGGAGCCAGATAGACTCGACGACCCTTGTAGAGCAGAGACACCACCCCGCGGTAGCCAGTTCTTGGTACACCTGACTGCACCAGAAAGAGAGAAAGGGTATTCATGCAAATGTTGACAGCTCATGAAATATGGGACCATATATATTCTAGCTCAGCAAAGTTGCCTTGCCGCTCAAATCGAGTATCAAACTATATAGATAGATTGAGTCTATGGGGCATTTGTTATTCTTAATCAATGCAAATGGTAATCAATAACAAATGCCCCATAGACTTTATCTGTATAGTTTGATACTCGATTTGAGCGGCAAGGCAACAGACACATCAGTTTCATTTACAATATCCAGTACAACGATTCCAATAGCGCTCTTGACACAGCACTCACTGATCTTATTATTACATACAGCCCAGTAAGCACAAATGTCTCCGTACAACACGAACGAGCGTTGCGCTACTGCGAAGAAACACGCTGCCACTATAGTGCCTAGAATATACTGGCTGGTGTGCTGAGTGCATGCTCTCGCATGGCTGCCGCGCTGATGCTATTCCACAGTCAACACATGGTGGCGATACCACTCTCTAAGATTTATTGGATGACAGTGCCATGGAAAAAAGCTGGCCCTCGGTAACTACCGAAAGGGCAAGATCGTAATGAGGCCAAAGAGGTTTTATGATAATTGAAGGGGAAGCGCTTTACTGTTCGAAGCAAGGTCAGGTGGCCTTGGAATGAGTAGTCGTAAAAAGAGATTCAGCAAAGAAGAACCATGTACATGCTGTGGGGAAGTTTGGGAAACGATAGAACATGTTCAGATTGAATGCAGTGATAGGTATACGTGTGGGTACAAGCCTACATGAAGCTTTGGCTTTTAGGGACAAACATAAAAAGCTGCACACGTCCGCCGTGGAAGCAAGTAAGAGACTATTAGAGTATTAATGGCATAAAAGTAGAGATAAAGGACAGAAATAATATGAAAATGAGGTTATTCTGCCTGAAGGAGCAGAGAAACGGAACGCAATTTTTTTTGTTCTAATAAAATCGATTCAATTGAAGTAGATCAGACATTAGGCCAACATAAAAAGAAAGCTTTCTTATACATTTTTTTTTTTTTTGCAAGCCTAATGGCACATGTCACTGCACCTTTATAAAGAGGGACACTTATAGCATCCATCCATCCGTTCACCGCGCATCAGCTGCTCCTGTGCTATGAAGAGCATAGCATGGCACTTTCTGCAGCAAATCCAGTCCTCTTTTATTCATTTAACACACTTGACCGGAAATAAGTGCCCAAATATAATCCTCTGCTGGTTTGAAAATAGAAAATGCCGAAGGGTTTTGCACGTACTTCATGTCGTCTGCTTGTTTTTGAAATTCCGTGCATAATAACGACCAAGGCCAAATCCAAGAAGCCACATTGAATGTACTACGGCTTACCCAAGCTGCCATTTAAAAATAATAAGCTAAGGCTAATGCATTAGATGCAAGATATCGTGTCGTAAGATTAGCTCATGACAATTTTAGTAGAGAACAATAAAACCCTCAATTTTTTGCACTTACACGAGAACGTTCGCAGTCAAATTTTTTCGATTAAGTGTGTCGTCGCAGCTGGCTGCCACTTAGTACATCTTGCTATGTTAAAAACCGCGCCACACAGGACTGAACAACAGCACCTGCGTTTTTTTTTTCCTTCAAGTCTTCTTCGCCGTTTCACATTGTTTACAATGCAGTAATCTTACTTGACCTCAATCTAGTCAACTGCTATTCACACTCTTAGTCATGGTGATATTTTATTAGCGGCATATCACAGTCTGTATGATGCAGCGTCATGTTGAGGGTATACTCTATGTGCGGAGATAGTCTGATCATGCGGCTACTATAATTGTGAAGCGCAAGTATTTTGCCCTGAGCTGGTCGTTGAGAAGGCCCTCATGGCGGCTGCAAGAATCCATCTCCCTGATCTTTCCTTTCAAGGCAGAAAATATATTCGAATTAGGTCAAAAACTGCTTTTTTAAACACTGCAGGTATTTTTGCAAGCAAGCTCACCCCGGAAAAACAATTTTGCAAGCAAGCTCACCCCGGAAAAACAAATCTTTTCTTTGCGCAGATGCTCATGGAGTCTCAGGCTGCGTATTTGCATCAGAAGACATTCGACTAATCCAGTTCTCATTGTACGACATGCCTTTCACATATTGTTGTTGGGCAGCGAAAAAGCAGATCACAGCAAGTTGCTGCTTTTGAGGGAGGGTTGCTATTCTTTCTGGCACAGCTGATTCATTCAGTGCCATATTCTGAACTTCCATGTAAGCCACTTGCTGCTGCACAGTGGCCAGTTTTCTTTTTGCACAAGATATGTACACCTATTGATTGTTTAGAGCATGTTGCATACTGACAGTTAGCTTGCATGCTTTTTTTCCTGCGAAGTCTGTTTTGGAGCTTTCGTAGATATTTGCACTTTGCACAGCTATCAGCACTAAGCTGACACATCTCAGAAAAATGCAGTTCCCTGAATTCGGCACACTTTCTCGAATCCGGTTTAAGGCCGCATTCGCCACACAGAATCTGCAATGCTGATTTCTTGATAAATTCTTCAGCTTCAATTGTTATCCTAAGCACGTGCTTGCCACTTCCTTCCCACGAAAATATGCTGTAGCCAGTACTGAACCACGTTCGGGCATCACAGCTCCAAACGTCACGATTATTTCAATAAGTTGCGCAGCGACAGACTATTCTGCGTGATAACGCACGTAGACAATAGAGTCTGCTGGCGCTTCGCTCAACATAGTCCATGTCGCAGCGATTGGAATCTTGCAGAACAGGTGTCGAGCTAGAAGCACGGTGGAGTGAACCCTGCATCGAAGGCCCTGCAGTGTGACCTTGATTACCACTGCTGCTGACATCTGTAACGGCACTGCACTTTTGTTGCTTAGCGGCAGTTTGGTCACAAATATTTCGCACTTTTCTTTTCGGTTCCTTTTGATGTTGAAGGTGCTTAGGGTAGTTGTCAAATACCGTTAGTATGGCGTAGGGCTTCAGGCGCGGTCCCTTCCTGGTTATCCTAAGCACGTGCTTGCCGCTTCCTTCCCACGAAAATATGCTGTAGCCAGTACTGAACCACGTTCGGGCATCACAGCTCCAAACGTCACGATTATTTCAATAAGTTGCGCAGCGACAGACTATTCTGCGTGATAACGCACGTAGACAATAGAGTCGGCTGGCGCTTCGCTCAACATAGTCCATGTCGCAGCGATTGGAATCTTGCAGAACAGGTGTCGAGCTAGAAGCACGGTGGAGTGAACCCTGCATCGAAGGCCCTGCAGTGTGACCTTGATTACCACTGCTGACATCTGTAACGGCACTGCACTTTTGTTGCTTAGCGGCAGTTTGGTCACAAATATTTCGCACTTTTCTTTTCGGTTCCTTTTGATGTTGAAGGTGCTCAGGGTAGTTGTCAAATGCCGTTAGTATGGCGTAGGGCTTCAGGCGCGGTCCCTTCCTGGTTATCCTAAGCACGTGCTTGCCACTTCCTTCCCACGAAAATATGCTGTAGCCAGTACTGAACCACGTTCAGGCATCACATCTCCAAACGTCATGATTATTTCAATAAGTTGCGCAGCGACAGACTATTCTGCGTGATAACGCACGTAGACAATAGAGTCGGCTGGCGCTTCGCTCAACATAGTCCATGTCGCAGCGATTGGAATCTTGCAGAACAGGTGGCGAGCTAGAAGCACGGTGGAGTGAACCCTGCATCGACGGCCCTGCAGTGTGACCTTGATTACCACTGCTGCTGACATCTGTAACGGCACTGCACTTTTGTTGCTTAGCGGCAGTTTGGTCACAAATATTTCGCACTTTTCTTTTCGGTTCCTTTTGATGTTGAAGGTGCTTAGGGTAGTTGTCAAATACCGTTAGTATGGCGTAGGGCTTCAGGCGCGGTCCCTTCCTGGTTATCCTAAGCACGTGCTTGCCGCTTCCTTCCCACGAAAATATGCTGTAGCCAGTACTGAACCACGTTCGGGCATCACAGCTCCAAACGTCATGATTATTTCAATAAGTTGCGCAGCGACAGACTATTCTGCGTGATAACGCTCGTAGACAATAGAGTCGGCTGGCGCTTCGCTCAACATAGTCCATGTCGCAGCGATTGGAATCTTGCAGAACAGGTGTCGAGCTAGAAGCACGGTGGAGTGAACCCTGCATCGAAGGCCCTGCAGTGTGACCTTGATTAGCACTGCTGACATCTGTAACGGCATTGCACTTTTGTTGCTTAGCGGCAGTTTGGTCACAAATATTTCGCACTTTTCTTTTCGGTTCCTTTTGATGTTGAAGGTGCTTAGGGTAGTTGTCAAATACCGTTAGTATGGCGTAGGGCTTCAGGCGCGGTCTCTTCCTGGCAATCTCGTTGATGACGCCACCCGCTATAGCTTTAAAGGTTCTTTCAAGTGGATGTCCTCAAAATGCTTTTCCAAGACACCTTCTCCACGTCACTGACACAGCTTCTGACAACAAGAAGCACGACTAACTGACAATGCCACAGAAGCAACACTGGCAACAAGCATACACACTGGCTGCACCTCAGTAGAGTTACTGTATATGCTACCTTTAGGTACCAGAGTTGCGCCAAGGTACAACATCTTGAATTGAAATTCTTGTCGGTATTTTTTTGATAGTATTGAAATATTGTTTGCTTCTTTATAGTAGAAGAAATTGCTCCATAAAAATAGGGGCCTGCATTAGTAGTACGCATCAAAGTGTTGCACTGCCTTCGCATGACGTCCCAGGCTTGTCAGCGCATCTTGTGCAACTTTTGCACGTGATCACGAAACCGTGCACACACTTTCCAGGTTCACCAAGACTTTCGAGTGAGGTGATTTTTTCTATCACCAGTTTGTCCCAGAAATGACGTGTACTGCTGCAGCATGACTGCTCATGTGCACAGTGGTTTAGCTCGTGCATCGAGAGAATAACAACGACAAAATAAGCCGTCCACGACACACTATCAAACTTGGACGCAAGCACACGGTACAATGCAGGGAAGCTGTATAAAGCCACATTGTCTCATTGTAACGGCTTATTTTC